GTCCAAATTCCTATAAACGTTGAAAAATATTACAAACCTTTCATAATATATTGTTTAATTCGTTTATTAATATTATCTCATCATTTAAATATTTAAATCTTTTGTGAAGAGTTCGCGTCTCCGATCTTGCGTATATGCTTTTTTCAAAGTAAAAGATAAAATATCGTGCAAAAAATCTTCCGATACTGCATTTATGTACGCAAAATTTACAAGAATCAGACGTTTGTGGTTGGTTAAATCACGATCCTAAAACATTTTTCTTATAAAATGTTTGCCACAATTTGGCATCACCAACTATACCTTGGACAGCAAGCCAAGGATTTGCATTCAATTGATACACTGTATACGGCATTTTCTAATTAAAAAATTGTACTCTACAGCAGAGAAATAGATATTTTTGCTGCCACCACACTTTCATATACTGGCATGATCACACAGCGTTACAGCGCGCGCATGCGTACGAAAGTAACGAGGCAGAGCGACGCTTATTTCTGCCAGATTCTTTCGTTTCATGCAAAAACGCGTCGAATAAACCTAATTTCATCGATTTCTGAGCTGGCCGAGCTATTCTGTATAATTACCAAAATTAGATAATCAATATTTTCAGTGAAATTAACTATCTAATTTAACTATTAAATAAATTAATATGTAAATAATATTTAAACTCTTATTGTAACGTCCGATGCGCCTACCATACGGCACCGCGTCCGTCACTACATCGCGAACACGAAATTAACTAGTGTGAGTAATACAAACACACAGAGGCTTGTAACGCGCATCTAAACGGCCGAAACCAAATCGAGCGTAACTGCGCCTGCGCCAACTACTTAAGGGTAAAAATGCAACAAGGATACAATTAGACATAAAAACACCACTACCAATAAAAAGATACTCATGAAACAATAAGATTAAGTCAGTAAAACCTGAAAAATATCGATAACCTCAGGCAGAACCTAGGAAAAACCGCGTTGCATCTCGGTAATGCACTTCCATGCAGTTTCAAACACACCGGTGGTACACCAGCGAGCATGGGAACACTTGCATATTCATCCGACAAGTAATAGCTCCGTCAACTCCGAATAAAAGGCCTAAATAAACATAGCTTCTTTCGCAAACGAACGATTCTCGGTAATCTCGCGAAGAAGCGGGCCACCGAAAACACGGGAAGAAAAACTCGCCGCATCTTTGTGTACAAGCTATTCGCGCCGTAATGCAACTCACGCGGAGCCGGCGCGGCTATATAAACTCTACCGGATATACTACCGATCTCTCGCACCCGCGCCTCAAAATTCCGTACAATTAAGGGAAAAATTAACAAATTAGAAATTGGAGAAAATTCTAGAAGATCCTTACACGGACACAAGACAGGCAAGGAAAGAACATCCCCTTACCGCGAGACGCTACCAAGCAGTCTGTATATAAACGCGCCGATTCCAGCGGAGCGTACCTATTCCCTCTTTAAAATTGAGCCAAAGACAAGGTAATTATACCTCGCGCCGACAGGCGTTTCTGCGGCTTCCTCTCTACTTGTACCATATCACAAGCCGATTCTTGTCCGCGCCCTTTGGCGTCCGGGAATCAATCTTACTTCCCTCCGATACTTAGCCAACTTTCGTCCGCGCCTTTTTGGCGTTCGAAAGTTACTGTATTAACACTCATTGCCTATCCATAATAGATATAAATCAGGGAAAACACTTAGAATAATTTCTCTCATGTTATACTTAGCATATCTCTTACCAATTAAAGAATCATTATACCTCGTTATATTCTTCACTTAAATTCAGAAAAAAAAAACTATTAACAAGTCCTAAAAATTTCACGAAGTTGCACATTCAAATCATCCTCAGTTATTTGAGAAATTCTCACTACATTATTGAGAGAAGTTATCTCTAAACTACATTCGTATAGCCTTGTAACTTACATCCGGAACCAAGAACTCTTCAGTTCTTCTCTTAACCACGAATTTTCTTTAGTAAACAATAATATCCGCTGAGTGTTCTCTTTTGTATCTGGAATCCCAAAAATTAAATTAACAAGTAGATCAATAATCATTAAAAACGTTACAATCTTGGCCGCTAGAAATTACAAACTCAGGACGGTTCTCTCTAGCCGGAGAAACAAAATATTGTTCGCGTATCGAGAATCACATCATGTCACCGGAATATTTACTCGCACTCTCGGAATATTGATACCCGTGCTTAGAATATTCTGCATTAACCTCTGAAGGTATCTATTTCACATTCCGGTTATAGTAATTTTTTCCACGTCCGGTTTAACGAGTCTACAATTCCCGAACGATAACTAACTACAATTAGATTAGAGTAAATTCAAAAAATGCAGAAATCAGTTTCAAGCAGCCGTGCCTTCAGAACCTTTATTAAAATCAATAGATGCCAAAAAAACTCAGGAAGAGGCGAATAAGGAGCAAGAGGGGTGGCGTAAAAGTACGAATCCGGGAGGTCATCCGCGAATACACTAAGGGCGGAACTTTCGACCCGTCTATTTACTGGGCCCCAGAACCGCCAGACGTCGCTAAAACACCGGCCACGGGAAACCAAGTTCCAAAAGATCAAACCACGAAGAACCCGGCAAAATCAGTTCCGCGACCAGGGCCACGTCCTTGCACCCCTCCACCCGTATGCGTGGCGCCAACTAGGAAGCCAACTCGGCCCATGCTAATTACAAGCATTAAGAAGACGGGCGATAATTAAAACCTATTAATATTAATAGCTAAGGCATTCTACTTGATTCTTGTTCTGTAATATAATAATCTTAAATTTATTATTGTTATATTTTCTATTCTTTCTCACCTCTATTATTCTTACAATTAAATATACAACACATATATATAAATATATACACATATTAAAAATCAATTAGTTTTAGGTTTGATTATTTCTTTTTCTTTTAATTATCCCCTCCTATCCTCCCCAAAGAAAGACGTGGATGAGTGAAGCTATATGATGAACTACGAAGGCCATCTCAATATGGTACAAGACACTGACGCTTCCTCAAATCTCTCAATTTAATTTCTAAAAAGAGGATACAATGGGCTTCTGCATGACGAATTTTGCTCAGAATTCCATTATCAATAGCCCAGGCTATAAAGACTAACTTTAAAATTAAAGACATAATATCGTGCCTTTCGGCACTGGTGACAGCAGCCTGCCTTAAATACACAAATACAGAATCAGCTGAGAAGCCGAGGCTTCACCCCGCGCGCCCCGCTCCGCGCTCGCGTTCCCCCTTTCTCCCCGCGACGCGTCTCTTCCGCAGCATAAGGCATCGCGAACCAATCGGGACGTAACACTTATAAAAAAAATTTTAACTTTTTATAAATCACCTATACAATTGTTATATATCAGAGCTCAACACCCTTTGTAAATTTCGGCCGATTTTCGAATCGGCGCGCCTTCTGCTGTTTCCCTCATCTTCGACCGTCGTGCGGCATTTGAATTGCGCGCGGGTAGTGAGGTGAGAACAACGGAAGGCGGAGCCGATTCGAAAATCGGCCGAAAATTGCGAAGCGTGCCGAGCCCTCTGTGTTATATATAATTTATATTATTATCATTATATTTGTAAAAATTGTATTGAATTAAGGGGTTATCCGGGTCTAGAAGGCAAAAAAAAGGCCTATTTTCGTGAATTTTTTTAAAAGATCCTACGACAATTTTACAATTTTCGTTTATTGGATATTAAAATATAATGTTTGAACTACACTGTGTAAAATTTTGAACGAAAAATATTGAAAAATGAGCCGTTGAGAAATGCTTAATGTTGACCACGCCAAAAAAAGTGTCCTTGCGGTAGTTACATTATCTCCGTCAATTTTCATCTGAAATCAAAAACCCAAAGTTTTTCTGTTAGTGTATGCGTATGGCTTGTCTTTGAACGAAGGATTCTTTTTTTAATTAAAAATTGAATTTTTTGTAGCGTTTTTTATAAAAAATGTCATTTTTTCCATAAATTTTGGCCATATTTTGGCTTATAAAATGAGTTGTAATTGAAGATAAAAAAAATCCTTCGTTCAACGACAACAAAAACATGTCTAAAAGCAGTGTGCAAAAGCAGAAGTCGATCGGTGCAATAGTTTTTGAGAAAAAGTAACTACCGATTTCAAAAAAGTGGTTTTTTGAGAAAAACGCGTTTCAAAGCGGAATAAAATAGAGAAAACAATTTTTGTTTTTTTACTTACATGGAATCATCGATTCCAGGCCCATAAAGGGAAGGTTCCGCTGCAACTGCAAGGTCCAATGCATCTTTTTGGTCTTGCCGAAGCTTCATTCTCGCTTCTCTTCTCTCGCTTCTTCGGCGGCCGAGGTCGAATTGCCGGTTATGACGCATTCGACACGCTGCGCTTTAAATTTCTCTCATTCCTACAGTTTTGCTCCGATCGACTTGTAATTTTCGGACAACATTCCTGACACTTTGTACTATTGTATAAAAAAGTTTGGAAAAAATGAATTTTTTGAAGTGCCAAGACCCGGATAACCCCTTAAAATGAGATTATATATTGAAAAATAAAATGAAACTTTTCCGAAAAAATGTTTTCTTTCTGACTTAAGAAACTTTTCAAGTTACCCTCGTACACATGTGCTACTATATGTATTGATACCGTTGCGTGTGAAATTATAACATTGGTGTTATTATGTGTTACTGTTAGTGTGTTGGATTATCATTCTCTCGTCAATTGTGAATAACATATTAATCAGCCTCCGAATAAAATCTGGACAATGACCCGAGGTTATTTGCTTTCACGGGTATTTTAGATGATTCGACAACGATAATAGCTGTTCAACGAGGGAATCCCAAAACAATAAAGACGTAATCTGCATGACGAATAAGGAAAAACGTAAAGGAAGGGGCAAAGAAAGTGAAGATGTGAAAGAAATAGCAGAGTCGACCATTGAAATCGTGAAGCGTATATATGTTAACTTTTTTTTAGTACCGACTTGATAAATATATCGCGTCTGCAACATTGAGAATTGGTAATCGCAAACATGCTCTCCCGCGGAGTCGATCGTGCGATTCGACTGATTTTTGCACTAGCATGCATACTTATTATTGTGAAACCAGTGTTTCCCTATGTACTGCCAGATCCGACTTTCGAGGTGTTAAAGCCGCAAGGTCTTCGAGTCTCTATACCTGGTAGGTTTATTTATAATTAACTTTTTCCTCTTATAATAGAAAGAAGAGTGTTTCCAAAAAAATTCTTCAAAAAAATCATATAAAAAGATGACCTTTCAAACAACATTAAGAAATGTCTGATTAAATTCCACTCAAGAAATAAACATTATTACGTAATATATTTTATGATAACGTATGGAATGTTGATATTAAATGTTGTATTTTACACATATGAGATGTAATGTATTAAATTTACATAATGTAATAATAATAAAAATTCATATATATTAATTTAAATTATTGACATTGTTAGCTATTTTATATATTTACATAATTATTATTATACGTATTGAATTTGTTCTATTCAAATTTTATACGGAGTTCATTGAAATTGTTTGAATCAAATATAGCTATCTGATATCAGTTCCATAGTTTGTTTTTTTACAGTTATCATATTTCTTACAACTATAGATCGTACAACAAAAATATGCAAGATGAGAAAAACTTCAAAGTTCTTCAAAATGAAACAATTTTATTAGCACTGCTAAAAGTAAAAAGCGAAATATAATGAATAAATAATTCATTACAATAATAATCATCATATTAATAATAATAAACACAATATTCAAAAATATTCCGATAATAATGATTCTTTTTGCAAAACTGTTTCATTAATGTTAAATACGTTTGTTTTGATTATTATGTTAAAAGATTAATGATGATTATGTAACCTAAGAAAATTTAACTCACAAGAAGTTTAACTCTTTCAGCATATATCTTATCTTATATTTCAAGTTTTAACATAATTACATATATTTCTAAGAAAACAACATAATTATCGATAAATATAATATCATATAACTAATTATAATAAAAATTATATGTATATTTTATTATCTAAAAAATTAGGATCACCTAAAAAAATAAAAACATTAGATGTTAGTAAATTATGTATTAAATAATAATATTTGAATAAGAAAAAAGAAAAATTAGTTTTATATTTAACGACGATGCGATTAATAGATGCACCGGATTTAAGAATATTTGGATTCCACGCCAACATCAACAAAGCAATTCGCACTAATGAATACGGTCAACTTGCCGGTGATATCTATTCAGCAACAGATGGCCGTTGGATTTATGAGAATTCGGACGTAACGATACAAAATGGAGATGTACTTTATTACTGGATCTATGTGCAAGCGAATGGGATTAATCACAGAAGGAATGACCAAAGATGGACGTATTCCCGTAAGATTATAAATACATATAATTTCACTGATATAAAAATAATGCAATTATTACGTATGTATAATATTTCAAATTTCGAATTAATAACAACGACAGAAAATGAAGTAGTTAACAGTCAAGAAACTACACAGAGCTCCTCAAAATACGAAATTCCCACTGAGGGCCGATTATTACTTGAAGACTATTTCAATTCTTTCAACACATCATTATGGAAACGTGAGATAAAGATGCCATTAGATCCGGTGGGTAGTGAGTCTATTATTTATTATAAAATTATTAATAATTTAATAATATATGTATATATATCTGTAAAAAAATATATATAGGGTGTCCCAGAAAGCTCGAAGGTCCTTTCTCCGGCAGATTCTATGGAACATTCTAAGACAAAAACCATCTATACAAAAATGTCCAGGCTACAATAGTTTTCAAATTATAAACGATTAAAGTTGGCCAATTGTAGAGTCTGAAAATCGCGCGCTCAGGGGCGAACATCGCGTGGGGCCCTTGTACATTGACTCGCTTGTTAAATGTTGATATAATTGAGACAATTGTTGCAAAATGTGTAACCGTAGAAATTCGGTTTTTTATTGTAAAACATTAATAGTTTTATCAGATAATAACGCTTCATAATAGGAAACCGAATTTTAGCAGTTAGGCACTTTCGCAGCATCTTGAATTCAAGAATCATCAGTGAAGTGCGTCAGTCTTCGTGCTTATTACCATTATAGTTTTTTAGTTATTTAATTTCTTCCAGTTTATTAAAGAAATATGATAAATTAATTTATTATTTGACATAACTTATTTAACAACTTTGACAGTTCGATGTAATGATTGAAATTCTGTAATAAAAGACTGAATTCTATGTATATAATTTCAATTATACAATTACATACGAATCTTAAAAGTGAAATCTCTTTACCATTGTATGTAAAATTAAAGCGCTTACCGCGAAAGTGCCTAACTGCTAAAATTCGGTTTCCTATTATGAAGCGTTATTATCTGATAAAACTATTAATGCTTTACAATAAAACACCGAATTTCGACGGTTACACATTTTGCAACAATTGTCTCAATTATATAAACATTTAACAAGCGAGTCAATGTACAAGGGCCCCACGCGATATTCGCCCCTGAGCGCGTGATCTTCAGACTCTACAATTGGTCAACTTTAATCGTTTATAATTTGAAAACTATTGTAGCCTGGACATTTCTGTATAGATGGTTTTTGTCTTAGAATGTTCCATAGAATCTGCCGGAGAAAGGACCTTCAAGTTTTTTGGAACACCCTGTATATTAGGTGTACAAATTAGTTCGGTCCGTTTTTTTGTGTTCAAAAATACATTTATTTCAAAACAAAATAAATGAACAGATTAATTAAAGTATTGTCGCTGACTACTACTTTTTCCCCATCTCTCAGGCAATTTTCGAATTCCATCTCGAAAATATGACTCGTTTTTGAAGGCGACCATCTTTTGGAAAACGGACCGAACTAATTTGTACTCCCAATGTATAAAATGTACAAACGTATATATCAATCCATACAATGTAGATATATAGAAATATATTTTTCACTCAATAAAGTTGATTATGTTGAAATTAGGACTACGAATTCTGCGTATATCACAATAAAAATCACGAGCAGCTTGTGAAAGTTCATAATGGTCAATTATTCATAAGGCCAATTATACTGGAAGACTATTACGGCGAGAACGCGACCGCATATGGAAGATTGCAACTTAACGGGTAAATACAAGTAAATTAAATTTCTACTACATTTCTTTTTATCTTATAGGCTGCGTTCCATTTCACGCATATGCGCGCATTCCCATATAGTATACGTGACGCTCACTATATAAAATGCGCGCATATGTCTAAAACGGAACGCAGCCAATACTCTATCTTTTCGTAGATGTACGAGCATGATTGCCTTCGAATGTACGCGAAAAGCGCTATCCTACAGCATTCTGCCACCCGTTATATCCGCACGTTTTACCACAAAGGAACATTTCATTTTACGATACGGAAAGATCGAAATACGTGCAAAGTTTCCTGAAGGCGATTGGCTGTATCCAGGTAATTTTACAATCTTTTTATTGCGAGCGAGACATAATTATTAAAATAAATCATATTACGCAATGTAAAACACGTTATGTTGAATTTGTACAGTATCATAGAAATTATAAAATACAAAATATAAGACAATATATAATTTTTTATTCGCAATTAACATAAAATATGTCTTATTAATTGCAAATTACTAAATATAATAAGTTAATAACGAAACTTAGTTTCTACATATTAATCTAATTAATTTGATTTTTGTCATTTATTAATGGTGTTTTTAATCGCGCGACGTCTTCTGCGCCCGACTCCTATTATCCTTTATTCTTTCCAATTTGTATTCTAATTAATTTGATTTATTTTTATCGGTCTCATTTTGAATCATATCATTGACGTATTGCAGCATACATATATATATATATTTTTTTTTTTTTTACATTTAATTGTGAATAAATAAGAATATATTTCACGTCTTATTAATTTATATAATAATTAATTTATTATAGTATTATATAGTTAAAAAATTTTTTTTACTCTCGTCAATTTTTTGCTTTACTATAGAAAGTTTCGATTATTTTTTTAAATTTTTCTAACAATATTACTTACAATTAGACTTAATTTATTTCTTTGAGAGAAAAAAATTTAAACGTTTAGTGGATTTATCACAATTTACAATATTATTTTTTTCTAAGAAAGATACAAAATTACCACAAAATTTTCAGGAAAATATATATTTAAAATATATATCCTATAATAATGTTATCAGAAATGTGGCTCGAGCCACGTTATTCTACTTACGGTATGAACTACGCCAGCGGCCGTGTTCTTCTGGGTTTGACACGTGGCAATGAGAATTTGGTGAATGCCACGGACATTTCGCAGATCTATGACACTAGACGATTGGATTTTGGCGTGAGAGTAAGTCCATCTTCTAATGAGATCGAAGAAATAGTCGTCACAAAAGTAAACGAATTCGGGCCACGGTGGACGAAGGATTTCCATGTGTACACGACGATCTGGACCAGTGATGGTTTCACGTTTTTGGTTGACGGTGAAGAAATTGGCCGAATAAGCCCCAACGAAGAAGGATGGATAAGTGGTCTTCACGCAAACAGAAAAGCTGCCCCCTTCGATCAAGAGGTATCATTTCAGCCATTTCAGTGCACTAAAATTCTTGTTATTACTATAAAATGCTTTTCTTATATCATTCTTTGTAATAAGTACCAGCATTATAAACTTATAAGTTTTAAAACACCATGTGTATACACACACACATATATATATATATATACATATAAGTTTCTTAAAATTAAATATTTATATTTTTTATAATAGTTTTTTATTACTCTTGGTGTCGGCGTGGGTGGAGTACGCGTGTTTCCGGATGGTACACACAGTTCTGGAATGCAAAAACCGTGGAGAAATATAGACGCTAAGGTCCACATTTTAATATTATTTAACTTTATTTTTATAATATTTCTTTTGATATTATTTCATTAATTTATGGCTAATTTAATATGTTGATGCTTCAATTTTCATTTTTAAAATATTCTTCTCTAAAAAATAAGTAGATATCCGTTTTTTAAATATATATAAAATATCGTCTTGATTGTAGGCAATGTTGAACTTCTGGAACTCTCGAAACCAATGGCTACCAAGCTGGAGACGAGACAGTGGCGATAAGACTGCTTTTGTAATAGATTACGTCAAAGTGTGGGCTCTTTGAATCAGTTGTGGGTTCGTTGATACATGCATAACTTTATTTTTTATTATATTCACCATTTTTTTTTTCATCATTTATATTATTTGTAGTAGTAAACCGGATCTTTTACGGCGCAACAATTATATCTTACCGCGTAGGTATTCAGTATTGCGAACATGAAGAAATAAGCTATCAGCAAAAATAGGCAAATCGGTTACCTTCTGATTCAATAATGGCAGAAGATTACAACGTTGCCTGCAATGTTATTGCACTTGGATTCTCCACCAAGACCTATAAAGTCCTTTTTACCTGCGTAACGCAATTAGAGTCCTGTAATTGGACCGCTTCTGTTTCTATAAAAGGGTGAACGATGTTCCCGTAAAATTGGAAAGAAATTCAGGGTCGTCCGGAGCTGGTTTTTACCTTTAATGATGCCTCCATTAGCCTCTCGGACGGTTATTCTCTGATAATATTCTTGCCGATCACGACATGAACATGAAAATGTCTAGTTTACCAAGGGCATATAACATTTTCTATAGAACAAATGGTACCATTAATTTCGTATTCGTTTTAACTAAATTTTATTCTATGTGTTGCTTTCCTTTTTTCTAATGTAATTATTTCTCTATTCTATTATTTTCTATGTCATAATCAAATATATATAAAATTATATAATCAAGTAGAGAATAATCAAATATTCATTCATATTCCAAAGAAATATTACATCATTATATGAAATACAGTAACGTAGCTCGCAGCTAAAAATATGATAAGTATCAGACTTTATATATTATGGCAAGTGATGATTGTCAAGGTCATTCCTGTGATCAGCCTCGACTTTACTCGTCAATTTCACTTTCTTTACGTCGTGAAGTTTCGAAAGTTTGAAAAAAATTTGTTTCCAAGATCATATATAGTAAAGATCTATCTGAAATTGACAGAAGTACTTTTTTAAACAATGCACAAAGAAATCAGATAAAAAAAAGGAACATAATTAAAGCACAATGTCGACTTTCGACCTGGTCCATCATTCAAACCGGTTTACCTCGGTTAATGTTGGAAACAAGAAAAAAGGGTCATCATGCGATTTCTTCCGTCTGCTTCGTGGTATCACGACTGATGCTCCAGCCGGATCCGATTAATTTTAACGTCTACGCTACGCACGTGTGCTACCTTACTGTGGCATAAAATATCGACAAAAGTCGAACGACCTCAGTTCGGCTTGACGTCTTGTCCGGTTTTGTTTTTGCGCCTCTTCTACGCGGCGAAACTTTTTCCTCGTGAACAGTCGATCGATAGCTCCCGCGGTAGCTACCACGATTTCCTCTCCCACAGTTGGCAGACAATTCAAACTGTTCTAACTCGTAATAAATTTTGTTAAATGTGTGAACTTAGTACTTTATTTTAACTTAAGTCAGTAAGTCAGTAGTCACTTGTAGAGACCTCGTGACAGATAATGACTTTGAAAAAAGTGACTATTATTTTAATCGTCTTCGTTTGGGCTGCTGATTCTCTGACGGATTATTATCCTCGTTCAAGACGATCAAGTAAGTGATTTTATAATATAATTTTTATCGTTACAGACTGTATGTAATCTTAACTCTGGAATTTTTCTCTCTTTATTCTTACTTTTCTAACATTAACATTATTCTGAGTAAAAATTGATTAACATGATTAAGAAAGATTGTTTTACTTTTTTTTATATCTCCTTATAAGCTGCAAGGAGTTAGAATAACTAAATTAATACTATTTTAACAAATGAACTTTAATGTTAAACAATTTTATTAAACTCAAAAAATGCACGAGTAAAAATTTATCTTCAATAACACTCTGGTAAGAATTATCTTGATAATACCAATTATATCTTGAGCTATATAAAGTTTAAATACATTCTAAATTAATAGATATTTTTTTACTATAGCGTATCAGAATGATTTTACATCCATAACTCAACATCTAAAAAAAAACATCTAAAGGATATTTCATAAAAGAGTGATCAAAATATTTTATATATACATATATAAATTCTTTTTACATTGTTTTAATACATTTGTTAGTCAGTGTGCATATGTGACATCGATTTATTATCCGAACATAAGCTTAGACAAGAATACATACCTATGTATATATTTAGCAAAGATGTCATTTAATTAATGCATGCTTAAATGTTAACAGTCGTCATTATTTACAGCATATCAATTTTTTCATCTCACAATGCATGCAGTTGAATAATTGAAAAACTTGATTAAGAATGCGTATTGTCAACATCGTTGTTGAAACCAGCTATATATAAAATTATATAAGAATTAGATAATTAAATATTGTATACATTATGAAAATTTTATTTCAGGTAATGAATATATATTGCACAGATGTACAGCTACCGCGGAATTAATTAGAAAGCACAGGAATGAGGATGTTGGAGCCAGTTTACGCAGAGCCGAAGGAAACTTGGCACAATCGCAAATGGGACAAAAAGGTTCTCTAATTGATGCTATTCAATCTGAAACTTCCAAGCAATTTTCGAACGGTGTTTTTCGACGTATGACTCATATGAGAAGACGTGGTAGTGGACACGCTCGTCGAATCGCAGGCAAAAATTTAGCAGATACACCCCTTAAAACTGTAAATATCGACATACCACAAGACAGACCATCAGTCTTCAAGAAAAAGAATCCGTTACCAGAACTTTCGCGCAATATATCTGGCAGAAATATCGATTCGTCGCCACATGTAATAATTATTAAATCTTTCACTTAATATTTTTCCAATGACATTCAATTTATATTGCCGTAAATTTTAATTTTATAGCAAATTAGCATAACTGCGTAATATAAAATTACTTATAATAATATTAAATAATAGCATATAATTTTTTTGGAATAATTTACCAATTTTGTCTTTCTATAAAAAAAAAATATTAATAAATATTAATTTTGTGATAACTGCGGCCTTTTAAATAAGTATTGAGTTAAATAAATAAAATTCAAATGTATTTTTTTGTAGTTTATATCAGTAAGCTATCTACAACCTGGATCATATAAACAATTATTTATAATTACACATTATTATGTTATGTATTACCCATTGCAGTTATACTCTCGGGCAACTTCTCCATCTCAACCTGTAAACAAAAATTCCTAGATAAATCAGATCCAAACGATTTTGTGAATCTATTTTATATTACAAGTCTATTCTTTTCAGTTAAACTTCTTGCATTGTTTTCTCGTTTTTTCGTTTCCAACATAGAAAAGAAATAAAAAAAAGATAAATAGTATAAGAGAAGTTTAGTTGGATAAATCGAATAAAACTCTGACCTTGGTCACTTTCATCGCCACTCCTTCTGGCAAATTTCTTTGAAGATATTCTAGAAAAGTATCTGCTGTGGATCCAGTCAATTTTAAAAAGTCTAGATAGCGATAATAAGTTCTAATTTCATATTGAACCCGATGTTTTTTATGAACATGAGCAGATTTTAACACTGTCCATCGTTCATGAATCGCTTTATATGGTGCTGTACTGTAAAAATATACATTTTTGAATATTATTCAATCAGATATTTTTTGTTTCCTCTACATGAAAGACTTATATAAATACACTCCATATGGTACTTCAATATAGAATTTCAATAAGATCCAATCATCAGCTAAACGTTAAATAACTAAATAAAGCCTGATTGTGTACCAATGTTACTTTTGACTTTAAACAAGACTAAAAATTTTTACTTTGTTTTTTTAAAACTGAAAGCAAAGGAAATATGAAGATATTTAAGCCTTACTTAAAGTCAAAGTAACATTATGCGCACACGCACACACACACACACACAATCGGGCCTAACTAGAACATTAATAAACAAAAAACTAAAACATACTTTCTACCTATGTGGATCTTCAAATGATCTGCGGCCATCGTTGCAAATTGTCCATAGCTCTTTAATACCGCTGGATCATTCCCCCTGACTTCAATTTCAACTTTTTTATACAACTTATCTGGCGTATCCTAAGAAATAAATATCCTATTTATACACTATATTCAAATAAATTAATAAAAATATAGGAATAGCAGAATTTACCGTGTTTATCGAGAGCGAGACCTGTTCTTTTATTGTATCTTGTCGCTGCTCATTTTGTTGCTGTGTTGACATAAAAAGTTTCATGGAGGGTACATCGTTTCGTAGATGTTTACGCATGAGGACACCAGAACATCCTGATTCATGTTGTACGGCAGCAAAAGTAATATTTCTGAGAAGAAGTGGTAGCTAACAGAATATAATAAGGTTATATTTAACCTCAATCGCAATTTGCATTGACTTTATGTTTATATCGAGATACCTTTGATGAAAACATTTCTTGTCGTTATATCGGTGAACAAAATTCCAAGCGAGATAATCTCTAGAAATTTTATGAATTTATTATTTCCGTATGTAAATACATCCGTTCATATATACATCTAGTTGAACTGTCACTTAGAACTGAACTGAGATCAGTTTCAAGTTTGCTGGAATGCTGGATCATAACCAATAAATCAATCCAATCATGTTCGCTTACGACTCAGCATTTAATGCATATCACACAACTATTTCTATTAAATAATAGAAACAGTATATACGATATACTGAATATAATTGCAATTAGAATCGTATAACAGTTGTGTAGTCGATTGTGATTTCCATATAGGTGCAGTGTTTGTATTTGCGTTAACAGCAATAATACGAAATTCTATTCGTAGAACAAAACACTGCAATTGTTCAAAGTTTATTTGCAGTATTAAATTGATGAAGTTAATATCCACCATTTCAAACTAAGTTTAATACCCAAATATTGCAATGTTAAATTTTGTTAAACATAAATTAAATACTGGAATTACAAAAAAAATTTTAATAGTTTGAATAATTAAACATTGACATCTGGTTTTTTTATAGTCAAAATAGCACAATTAATTATGCCTAAAGTTACAAATGCATATGAATGTCTGTGCATAAAAAAACTAAATATATTTATATATAAATTAGGAAGAGAAAATTACTTAACATATATGCATGTTTAGATCCGCAAAAACTATCTGCTGTAATTTAAATTTCTTGTCTTTAAAGATTGTAAAATATTTAATTTTATATAAAGTGCAGTTTTATATATTTTTATCTTATGTTTAGTTTGTAATAAACAATATCTGTTATAGAATTTTATTTAATTTGTTTTTAATTCTTACAATTTTGATTTAAAAGAATATACATTGTTATTCATGTAATTTTCAAATACAATAATAAGCAGGAATGCGAGCATGTATTTGAAATACTTTTATTTGTAAAACGGTGTTTGTAGGATAATTGTATCTTGTATTTTGTATTTCAGCAGAGCACATGAAATTCAATTTTAAATATAAATATACTTGATATTTTTATGTGCTCCGCTGAAATACAAAATATAAAATACTTTTATTGCAAAAACTTTTAAATTAAAGTATTTCAAATACATATCCAGTCCTAATGATAAGAAACATATAATTTTAAGATTTTTAGATATGAAATATGCAAAATATCAAGCTTGTGATGTATTTTAAGAAACACTTCAATGAGAGATACAGTTAGCTCTATTATTACATACATATAAATCAACTGCAATTCATATTATATATATATCTCATTTGCAATTCGTGTAAAATTATGTATGTACAATGCTTCTCAGTAAATATATAAGCTATTTTTATTTCTCTCATTGCACAAAATAATGCAACAACATTTAAACATAAAAGAAATAAGTATTATTTGCTTTACTTCATTAAAATACATATTGTATATTAATAAACTGTTTCATTACAAATCACTTAAAGAATGAAAATATCTCCAAACACTATATTGTTTACACAATAATCACAATTTAAATCATATAACAGAGACAAATATTTTAACATATACTGCAGTCGTTTATGAAGTTCTTAACTTTATTTGACATCGCATATTTATTCAGTGTGTTTTTAATATCCATTCAATGAAAGATCTATGTGCTTTTGTTTCACAAACCGAAATGATCAAAAGTGTGATACTAAACTATTATCAAGTGTAACATTAAAATATTTTGTCTAACAATCTTATAACTAACGTCGATCCTTAAACAAGTTGGCCACAAAGGATCGTTGCGGTGCTTGTAAACCATAATTTGATTGCCATCCAACGTTGGTACCAATATTGGATCCAACGTTAGTACCTCCTTGCCAGTTGGTAGATGTGTGTGATGATGATACCTTCTTATTCATATCGTTTAAAGGTAACCAACGCGAGTCGTTTATGTTCGAATTATTACTGTTTTGGCAAAGCGATTTCGCTGGAAACATCTGCGACTTGCTTTGCCAATTATCTTTGGATTTTCCCCAAGGATCCTTATCAACTTCTCTGGACCAATTGCTCGACGAAGGAACCTGATTATCGATGTTCCTGTTCAATCCAACATTGCTGTCGTCCCCCCAAGGGTCCCGTGCGTCTTCTGGTAGGTCATTCCAATCGTCTTTGTCTCCTTGATTCCAATCATTAGATTGCGGCTGTTCCCATCGCGGCTTGTTTGTATTCATCCAAGGCTCTTTATTACGGCCACCCAAACTTTCATTGCCCCGATTCCAATTTTCGCTACTATTTCCCGATCTGGACGAACCGGGCCATCTATTGTCTGAAGTCTGCCAAGGTTCTTTCATACTTGCAAGTGATTGTTTCACATTCCATGAATTTCCATGAGATGAAGATTCTCTGTTATCCCAAGACTTGTCTTGATTAGTTGATTTGCGATATTTATCATTATCAGGCATAGCCTGCCAATTTCCACTCATTGTCGGTTGTCTCTCATTGCGCCAAACGTTTTCCGGTCTTTCATTAACAGACCGTTGCCAAGTACTGCTTTGTTCAATAGCACCTCGACTTGGTATGTCCCATTCATCTGCAAATCTATTTGGTGGCGAGTTCTGACGTCTTGGAGGAGATTGTTGTCGCCTCGGAGGAGATTGTTGTCGCCTCGGAGGAGATTGCTGTCGCCTTGGAGGCGTAACATTACGTATATGTGATCCTCGATGTGGCGAAAAGTGTCTCATGGGAGGCGACTGATGCCGCGGTGGAATCAAGTCTCTTGGTCTTGGTGGAGACATCATCCGGACAATAGGCGACATATGTCTTCTTTCTGGAGACAACTGTCTCGCGGATAAGTCAAATTCCATAGAAGACATTTGTCGTCTAGGTGGAGACAACTGTGGTCTTGGCGGTGATATATGCCGTCTTATAGGTGACATTGGTCGACCTGACATTTGCAAAGATCGTCTTGGCGAAGACATTTGTTGATTAATCGGTGAGAACGGACGTCTAGGTGGCGACATTTCATGTCTCTCTCTATCATCAGATACCATTACTCTCATTGGCGACATTGGTCGTCTCTGAGAATATTCTCGATGTGATGGAGAATTACGTGCTTGATACGATCTATCTGGGGAAAAATGTCTCTTAGACGGTGAAGATAAGCGTCTCGGTGGTGATAGTAACGGACGCTTTGATGAAAATCCATCTGATGGAGGTGCTCGTTGTGTAAATGATAAATTCTGCCTTTTCATTGGAGAAACAGGTTTTCTCGAAGATCCCATATCGCTCCAACGATTTCTATCAAAACCTTTATTCTTATTCCATGAATTATCTTGATTTTGTTGTCTATTTCTGTTGTCAAATGATTTTTGAGGAAATTCCGGTCTGTTGTCAGATTTATTAAATTTTTTTGACATTGGCATTACCATATTTGGCTCTAATGGTGCAAGATTATGATATTTTTTGAATTTCGGCTTATTGTCCTCTGTTTCTAAGTATTCTTTATTTGCCGTCGTAATAACGATATCCTGAGCACGAGTTTCTTGCACAAATCGACCTTTCAAAAGAGGATCATCGTCAAGTTCTTTTTTTGACTCAAGTTCAGGTGGCGCAATGCGATCCCACACTGAACGTGGCAAATGAGTCTGAATTTTATTAGTTTGGTCGAGAACTAAACTTAAAACATTTTTTAATTCCTTAGCGGTCGTTGCGTCAACCGTAGGAGATGGACCGCTTAATTTTTCTTTAGCTGCTTCAAGTATTTCTCGACTTTCATTTACCTTTTGTATTAGATCTGTGTCAATTCGGTTACTCAATAATTTTTCTCTTAAATCAATTTGTTCTTTGACCTCTCTTGTCTTTTTCTCAAATAATGGATTGATGCGAAGAGTTGAGTTTTCATGAAACCAGTTCTTTTTCTTAGCTGTAACATCTGATTAATAAAAAATTGATTAGATGTGCGTGTGTGTATGTGTGTGTGTGTAATATCATATAATGTCTATTAGTTGTGTATCACCAAACTTACCATGTTGCCCTAGTTTAGGTTTAGGTCCAACCTTTTCAATTTTTTTTTTAGACATTTTTTTTATTTCTATTATGTCGGGCGAATGGTCTCGTTTTAATTTTAGTTTACCTTTTACTGGTGAAGATGGATTGCTTTTCACTGCTTTGGTTATTTTTTTCGTAAATAACGCTTTAGTTTTTTCCACAAGTTCAGGTTTGGCTAATGGATTCTTTCTTATCCATGTATTTTCAACATTTTCAGGTTTGTCATTATTGATTATTTTCTCTAAAACTTTAGTATTAGCCAACGTTTTGCTTTCTTCCTCCAACATTTTAATAAACCACGGCTGCGTAAGTCTATGCATGAGTCTACGTTCCATTAGAATAACTACCTCAAAATGAGGTCCAGTAGGCAATGTATCGACGACACATGCTCGAATTGGCATAAATGGATGACCAAGCCCAGTTTCTATAGGCCGTGCAAGTTCTAATATTGCTCGAACTGATTGTTTTGTCAACGTAGTGACCATTACAATACGTCGAAGAGAACTGATCTTCCTTAAACATGTCATTACTTCGATAGCTAAAAGATACCATAACTTTAGGATTTTATTATCGCAAGAGATATGTTGTGATCGGAATGCTAAATGTTATCAATTAATCTTCAATAAAACAATAATTAAGAAAAAATAATTTTGCGTACCTCTACCTATATTGGTGCCCGCATTGACTATACAATAAGTCACACGATTTTTATTATATAAATCACGCGCAGAATTCAATTTAATTACAACTTCGGATGGAGATCCCATTATGAATGATACATTGTATATGTTGTTCAATTCGCATGTCATTTCAGCCTCCTCTATTTCCGAAGGTGAATCAACTCCTATCACTTCTCGACATTTCTGTTATAATGCAATGATAATACATTACTCTTTTTATTAATTTGCTTAACACTGCGTTTATATGTACATACATAACGCATAATGTTAAAAGTCAATATGCCTTATTTAGGTTGTTTAATAATGCATCTACTTACATACGTATCTTATGTAAGTTATGCAAGTACTTACAGATGCTATTGTAAGTCCAATTACACCTATTCCACAACCAATTTCAAGTACTGTAATTTTTTTTGTGGGTTCAAGCATGTCCGCAACTGTTTTAGCTACATTCCATGCACCACCAGCATTACACCAAAAGTTCGTCTTTGGCGCAAGCTGCACTTTCAAATTACCCACGGTTTCATCTAGAGCTTCTGCTCCCACTAAGAATGTTGTAACAATTTTATCATCGCGTCTGAAATGAATGCAATATGATATGCAATTTTCTGCTATTTGGAGCGTAATTTATCTTGTTAGAATCTTACTTGTTCATCGATTTGCAATAGAGAGATTTGACATTACAATT